TCCTACCTAAGGCTTTTTTGTCCTTCTTCAGTTTGTGCTAATTCGATCTCGGAAACTACTGGACCGATTTTCCTCGGATTTGTTTTAAATGAAAGCTCTTAGGCTGTAGATGTGCCAGTACCCCTTGGTTTTTGATTTGCGCGACCGATGTTGCAAAATTTACCTCGATTTGATACAAAATATTTGCGTTTTTGCCACTGGACAGTTTGTGCTGATTTAATCTCGGAAACCACTGGACCGATTTTCCTCGGATTTGTTTTAAATGAAAGCTCTTGGGCTGTAGATGTGCCAACATCCCTTGGTTTTTCGATTTGCGCGACCGATGTTGCAAAATTTACCTCGATTTGATAACGAAATATTTGCATCTTTGCCAATGGACGAGTCATATGGTTGGGGGACCTCCCACCCTCTGATTTTCCGTTTCCCTCTCGACGTAAACCCATCTCCACCTGCCATTAACACGTGTCACCCTTCTACTCTGGCACGAGTCCTGCGGCAGTATACCTCCTTTCCTCATGCCGCCTGACTCGGAACACCTGCTACGCATTTCCTCCGTCGCATTGCTAATAATCAGTTCTTGGTTTGTCCAGGTTTCTTATTAGTGCGTCTAGAGTTTTGATTTCTTCATTATGTCTCTAGTTTTTTTTTATGAAAATTACTTAATTTTGATGTGTATTTTTCAGAAGATAATTTTCCTTTTTACGGCAGCACAGGTTTTATTAATAATTAACTTTTGTCAGCAGTTCATGTGTTCTTTCAAGAAAATCGGTAATCAATCTTCACCCTTTCGCACCGTTAAATTTTCACTAAGTGTTTTTATTTTTTTTCCAGGAGTGTTTTTTATTTTTCAAGGATGTTTCTTTTCCTAGAAGTAGGTGGTTATCATTATTAGTTTCTTCTTCTTTGTTTTTGAATTTATCAATTTGCCTCCAGGAAGTCCACTAATTATTCGTAGTAGCAATATTTGGCTCGCGAAGCGAGCCAACATACACTCGCGGAGTGAGTGACTGGGGGTCCAGAGGGCGAAGCCACCGGGTAGCGGCGCAAGCGAGCGTAGCGAGCTGAAGCAGCTAGTAAGCTACTAAATACCTTGTGTAGTTATAATAATCACATGCGAAAACAATTGGTATCATTTCCTGTAAGGACGATGGAAGGAGGTCAAAATTATTTTATATAGTTGCATGGAGAAATCGTAACATAATTGCTACTTTTTCCATATATTCCATCCAAAATTGAGCAGTCTTGCCTAAATTTCCCTCTTTCACCTGGGTCATTCCACGTCAACGCAACCAAGGTCGGAACCCGACCCCCTCCGATTTGGCTA